GAGCAACACGAACCCCACTAAAAACCGGGGGTGATCTCAGGTGCTCCGGAAGGGTAAGCAGACTGCTCCACAAGTGGCACCCGTCGTGTTGCTTGTGGAAGTACATACACGGTGATATGTCTAATTCGGTGGGTCACATTCGGGGATAGGAGGGCCGGATTGTGGTTAAGACGATTGAAACACATCCGACGTCATCTGTGAAACATATTCTATAACGGTCAACCATCTCGTGATGGCATCCGTAAAATTTTCGAAGGGATGATTTCAACTTCACCACTTGGAACTCTTGGATTGTTTGTTAAAATACACGTCCTCCAAAATATGAAGAAACATGTTACCAATCAAGCATCTTGATAATGTCGGCTTCAGAGTATTTTTTGTTTAAATCAGAGTGATTTCACACTAAGTACGATTTATTCCGCCCTAAGATAAGATACTTGTATCTACGTTGGCCATTCTTTTTTCATCAAACAAAGGATGATTCACTCCATCAATTTGTCTTTTAGTTTGGAATGGGGAATATTTATGTAAAGTGTAGAAAAGTCAAACGTTTTTATACTATTACAAGATGAAAGAGTCTTAGTATGTATGTACACTAACAGATCTTATTTTTTAGTATCCACATCTGATCCACGCCGCCTAATATTATAAAAGATGTAATTATCTATTTTTGGTACCGAAGAGAGTTCAAAGATAACTTTGTCGTCGGTAAAAAAGAATTTTGAGAAATCATATACTAGTACATAACATACAAAATGAACGACTGTCATGACATGTTTTTGATATTATTCGGATTGTTCTGTAATTTATATATTATAATTCTAATAGAGAAGATCGTGGACTTAATATCAATAAAATGATATATATGTTGTGCTGTTACTCCACTGTCCAAGGTTAGGGGGAGGGTTGAGCGCTCACAAACATGTTTAACCCCGCCACATTCTTTATGTGCCTGTCGCAAGTCAGGAGCCTGTAGTTCAGTGGTTGTTGTTGGTTCATGTCTGTCATATTTGGTTTTCGTCAATTCTTTTGTTATAAATTAGGCTCAATTAAACTGTTTCATATTTTTTATGTCGGGGCCTTTTAGCGCCGACTATGCGGTGTGGTTTTTTTCTCATTGTTGAAGGCCTTACGGTTGCCTATAATTCTCACATCCACTTCATTTGGTACTTTGTCGGATAGTTGTCTCATTGGCAATCATACCACATCTCCTTATTTTTATATACCAGGAAGAATTAAAGACCATAAACTATGGGTTTTGCTTATCGTTTAAGTTCGTACAGCAACATGTAGTTTTTAAGATTTCTTTGTTTTATATAAAATTGTCTCATTGGTAATTATATCTCATTTCATTATTTTTATAACACACAAACACAAATGGTATGCATGGTTTTCTACAATAGAAAAATGATATATTTATGCTCAGCCCGAATGTTTTGATTTCAATCGGCTAGCTTATAAGCGGACTGTCCGGAGGAAGACATGTAATGTCAGTAAATTCACCGGTAAAATTTACTAATGAAAGCAAAAGCGAAAGCAAAAAAAAAAACAGAAAAAAAATTAAAAAAAGAATAGAATGAACACAAAAAAAATTAAAAAAAAGAGTCATAACTTAACTTCCGTATAGATAAAAACATAAGTATATGTTGTATGATTACCTATGAGGCAAGTATTCACCACACCGAGGCATAAGCTAAGGACGAAGATGTAAACAACCATAGAACACAGTGCAGTCTTTAACGACGAGTAAAACCATACCGTATAATAATTTATAAAAGACCCCGGCATGACAAAATTCAAAACAGATTTATGCTAAAAACAACAAACGAAAAACAAATGAAACAGGCAGCGACCAACGACAACAACAAAAGAACAGACTCCCAGCTTGGGACATGCACATACAGAATGTGACGAGGTTAAACATGCTTGTAAGCGCAGAACCCTCCCCTAAACAGAGACAACATAAGAACAAACTGTAAAATCAGTTGGAAATGGCTTGACTCGTCGGATACGCATAGCAACTAGCGTAAAAACATAATGCAAAAAGTACCGATTAAGGGTAGTCGCAATTACTGAGAGTTATTTCAAAACCAATCATAACTAATAAATAAATCATGTTCTTCAATACTAAAAAATCTGTATGAATAGGTGTGATTCTTAAGCTGTGTTGTCATTTGATTCGGAACTTCATCGTTTACTCAACCGCCTCGGTTGTCTCTGGGAGTTGATCACCGGACGGGTCAAACCAAAAGGCTTGATAATCCGTATTTGAATTTTGCGGCATTTGGGAGTCACAGCAAAGACTGATCGGTTCCGATTCATAATATGGATTATAGGTACTTGGGGACAGGACAATTTTTTTTGTTTGCCCTTCCCCTTTTTTCCAAAATCCGTTATTTTTTTGTTTTATATTAATTTCAATTATTTTCGCGTTTTTCTTTCGTTTACTATCCACAGCGGTCATTGATATATTTTCTAGTATATAATATATCAGTGATCGCTGTGGATCGAAAACTTGGAATTAGTAGTAAATAGCAAATACAACTTATTTGTAGTATATTCGAGATCGTATACTACAGAAAAACGCGAAAATAATTGAAATTAATAGAAAACAAAACAATAACGGATTTTGGAAAAAAGGGGGAGGGCCAAAAAAAATGGTCATGTCCCCTAGTACCTATGATATGGATATGTCCACAAAGGATGATGCGATTTCCTGCATACATCCGAATTAAACTAACACACCCGGCTTAGCGCCACGGTCGGTCAACTGCACAAAGAAGGGTTTATATTCATAAATCATTAACATGTTCTCGTCCTGATATCTGTGTAATATATGCCACTGGTGTGTAACAATCCACAATCGGCTTAATTTGTTAAAATATTTAATGATCATCTGAAATCACATTCGTTCCTGTGTCGGTTTTGACGTTCGTCATGACTCGTTACTGTTCAACGGGTTGACCCGGTTTGATTATATATATTATTATACCTCACAGTATAATTGAATAAATCTATTGGCTAATAAAAGATCACGTGGTGTGAATTAATTCGGATATTTTCGTCCAAATCGGTAGGTCCGGTGAATAACCGCCGGTGAGGCCAAATTGAACCGTCCGCTGAATAACCCTATCATTCACCGCCGGTGAGGCCAATATATGTAAGTTCGGTATAATAAAACAGTTACGGCCCTATGAGTCGGGGAATACTAATCCAAAATTGTCAACCCTGCTTAGGTAATTCCCCTCGGGCTAAAACCTCGGGGAAATAACCCTTAGCAGGGGTTGACAATTTTGCATACCCCCTCCTCAGAGGGCCATAATTATATACTATTGACGTCCAATATGTCAAGTTGATTCAGACATATATAGGGTCATTCTTAGCAAATTCAGCTAAATTTACAAAGTAAATCTATCATATTGTCCACATCTTTCTAAATATATATTTGTTTTATTACATAATTCTCATTTACTTTATTGAATTATAAATCTTTAAATTTGATTTCAATTATTTTGACATCACTGACATTGCCAGAAAGATTTTCGTTATGTTCAGCTAAATATCCAAAAGTGGAAATCTATCATTTTGTCTAAATGTTTCTAGATAAATACCTGTTTTATTAAATAATTTTTCTTCAGTTAACTTCTTTAAAAATAAGACGTCTACGAATGATGGCAATAGAAGTTTTTAAAATATTACACAAAGAGTCACCGGTTTATCTCCATGATATTATTAATTTTAAAAATGTACCGTACTCTTTTAGAAAGCAAGTCTTAGACTGTTGAAGTACCACAGGTGAGAACAACACAATTTGGACTTCATTCCTTGAGGTATGGTGGAGCTACACTCTGGAATGAGCTGCCTGACGCGATCCGTGAGCAGTCGAACCTGAACCAGTTCAAAAGTATGATCAACAACTGGAATGTCAACTCATGCAGATGTGGCTCCTGCAGATCTTAAAGCTTTTGATTTTTTTTATGTTTTCCCTGCAACTTTTAGAACCAGTTTTGCTTAATTTATGTGCTTATAATCTAGTTTAGTGCTTACTTGTTTGTGCTTGCTTTTATATATGATCATTTTTGCTTATGCAATATATATATAGCTGTATGACTTTGTATGTCTAATGTGTATATTTTATATGTCCTATTGATAGATCCGTATTTTTACTCGCTTGGCTTTATAATAATTCATAACTATATTTCTGATCTAATTTTCTATTCTATAAACTACATATATACATTTACGCTACAAATCTACAACTCCACTCTGTTTGGCTACACGTGCTGTCCTTATCTATAAAGTCATGAATATTCATCAACTATGAAGGCGTGTCAAAATCGTATCATACGCGATTATGACCTGCCAGTACACACTGTATTATGATTTCATTAACCAGTATTAAAAAGATAAATATAACACTATATGTCTTAATATTGTATGTGTTGTTATTGTTATTAATGTAGGCAAAAAGCTCTACAGAGCTTGTTTGTAATGTTCATGTTACCCGACTTAAAATAAAATTTTCTATTCTATTCTATTCTATTCTATTCTATACTATTCAGTTTCATTTGATCCAATTGATATCCTTTATAAAAAAAAGTTTTGCAAGTTGTTGCAACTCAGTTGCACCCTCTGCTCGGTCAATGATTAATTTATAATTCTTTTCTGAGATTATATCTTTACTATAGTTGTTTTTGAAACATTGATAAAAAAAAGTTGCTAATGATAATTATTGCTGAAACACTCAAAAGTAGAGTGGCCTTAGCATCCTTTGTTGTTTCTTGTACTTTTCGGTAAAAAGATAAATTTTAATTTCGCAAAATATATAAAATACGAACTTCAAGTTTACCATATCATATACTATATATTGGTAAAATATATATGAATATTGCTATCAAGATTATTACTTACCCAATTTTCTACATATTTATCAAAAATTAATTGTATCCTTCGTTAAAACTTAATATCTAAGTGAAATCGTTTTGTTTAAATTCTTTTCATTTCGAATTTTTGAATCATGGCGTCCTTAAAGTCCGTCTCGGTAAGAAAGTTATGTAAAATTGAGAATTATGTTGGTTTCTATATTTTCATGAGATCTATTTTAGGCTATATCGTGTTTCTATCCCTTACGGGATTGAAGAAAACATTTCCAACATATATAAAACTGCGGTCCTTTTTTTATATAAAAAACTAATAAGAAAAACAAATTATATAAAATTAAAAAGAAAAAACATGATGATGTTAAACACCTTAAAAAATTCAAACAAATCAAAACACAATTGCAGAAAGAGATTAGAAATGCCTATTGGAAATATATCGAAAACATGATTTTTGACATTGAAATACAAGAACCTGAAAATCAGAGATTCAACAAACAACCTAAAAAACTCTTTTCATACATAAAAGGCCAAAACAATGAAAACACTGGTATTGCACCTCTTAGGAGTGAAGGTTTACTACATACAGATCCCTTGAAAAAAGCAAATATATTAAACAAACAATTTAAATCAACTTTTACATCTGAGTCTAATAGTACAGTAATCCCTGACAAAGGTCCATCAACACACCCAATAATGGACAACATAGAGATCAACAGAGAAGGCATCTATAAATTAATTAAAAATATAAATCCTAAAAAAGCAACAGGACCAGATAACATAACTGGAATAGTGCTAAAAGAAAACATTAACACATGCACAGACATACTCTAATTTTTACAAAATCAATACAAACAGGAAAAGTACCTCATGATTGGAATCATGCAAACCTAACACCTGTTTTCAAAAAAGGAGACAAACATCATCCTGGTAACTATAGACCAATCTCATTAACATGTATTTCCTGCAAATTATTAGAGCACATACTTGCAAGCAACATCATGAACACCTTGAATCAAAAAACATACTTTATGACTTGCAACACGGCTTCAGGGCAAATAGATCTTGCGAATCCCAGATAATTTCACTAATTCACCAACTGTCATCAAATAACGATAAAAACATACAAACCGATCTAATCATCATGGATTTCGCAAAAGCCTTTGATAAAGTTCCACACAACTGTTTACTGTATAAACTTAATTTTTTTGGTGTATCAGAACAAGCTACAAACTGGATTAAATCTTTTCTTTCTAATCGTACACAAACAGTCATACTAGAAAACCATTCCTCTGACAACATACCAGTTACATCAGGTGTTCCCCAGGGCACTGTATTAGGTCCAATACTATTTTTAATATACATCAGTGACTTATAATTACCTGACTATTTACATCACAGTCAAATCAGGCTCTTTGCTGATGATAGCATCATTTACAGACAGATGAAATCAACATCAGATTGTCTTAAACTTCAAGAAGACCTAGAAGGGGCAATCAAATGGGAACAAAGACTGGCTAATACAGTTCCACCCTGACAAATGCAACATACTTCGAGTGACCTCAAAGAAAACACCTATTCATTTTTACTATAATATGCACGGTCACATTCTTGAGTCAGTTGAAAATGCAAAATATCTAGGCATAACTATATCATCAAATTTGAAATGGAACAAACACATTCAGAACATGACATCAAAAGCAAATAAGACCCTTGCATTCATCAGAAGAAATCTAAAAATAAACTCAGTAACCATCAAAGACCGAGCATACCAAGCCCTTATTAGACAGAAACTAGAATACTGCTGCACTGTCTGGGACCCTTACACAACAGAGAACATTAACTCCATAGAAAAAGTCCAAAGACGTGCAGCAAGATACGTATGTTCTAAGTACCAATATACTGAAAGTGTAACAAACATGCTTAACACACTTCACTGGCCAACATTACAAGAAAGAAGACTCAAAAGCCAATTAAATATGTTCCATAGAAAGAAAAACAACAAAATTGCCATACCACATACTGACATACTAATTAAAAGCAAATCAAACACCAGGTCTAGCCATGAACAAGCATACCGAAAAATTCGATGCAGCAAAGACAGTTTCAAATTTTCATTTTTCTGCCAAACTATAAAAGACTGGAACAAACTACTAGAACCAATAGCCTGCAGCACCACTACTGAGTGCTTCAAGGAGAAACTCACTAGAGAAATTCTCCTTGACACTTACAAATACCTGCATGTTTAATATGTACATGTATCTTGTTTTTATCTTATACCAAAAATTAAAAATAAAAATTGAAAAATATTACTTACATATACACTTGTATATATCAAAAAATTGAAAATTATTATGAAATTAAATATATTTTTAATCATTAACAATACTGTTAAACTAGGCATGCGCCAGAAAGTAATCATCAACCAGTTGATGTTTTTATACGACCGCCAAAAAAATTTGTGGTCGTATATTGGTATGACATTGGCGTTGTCGTCGTCCGAAGACACATTGGTTTTCGCACTCTAACTTTAGTTTAAGTGAATGGATCTCTATGAAATTTTACCATAAGGTTCAATACCACAAAAGGAATGCTGGGATTGATTTTGGGGGTAATTGCCTCCAAATTTTAGGAATAAGGGGCCAAAAGGGGGCAAAAAACAAGCGTTTTTCTAGTTTCATGACAATAACTTGTGTGTAAGTGTATGGATCTCTCTGACATTGTACCACAAGGTTCCATATCACAAAGGGAATTCTGGGATTGATTTTGGGGGGAATTGCCTCCAAATTTTAGGAATTAGGGGCCAAAAAGGGCCAAAAAACAAGCATTTTTATAAGACCGCAAAAAAATATTTGTGGTCGTATATTGGTATGACGTTGGCGTTGTTGTCGTCCGAAGACACATTGTTTTTGCACTCTAACTTTAGTTTAAGTGAATGGATCTCTATGAAATTTTACCATAAGGTTCAATACCACAAAAGGAAGGTGGGGATTGATTTTGGGGGTTATGGTACCAACAGTTAAGGAATTAGGGGCCAAAAATAAGCATTTTTGTAACTTCCAGACATAACTTGTGTGTTAGTGTATGGATCTCTCTGACATTGTACCACAAGGTTTCATATTACAAAGGGAATGCTGGGATTGATTTTGGGGGTAATTGTCTCCAAATTTTAGGAATAAGGGGCCAAAAAGGGGCAAAAAACAAGCATTTTTCTAGTTTCATGACAATAACTTGTGTGTAAGTCACAGTAAGTGTATGGATTTCTCTGACATTGTATTACAAGGTTCCATATCACAAAGGGAATGGTGGGATTGATTTTTGGGGCAATTGCCTGCAAATTTTAGGAATTAGGGGCCAAAAGGGGGCAAAAAACAAGCATTTTTCTAGTTTCATGACAATAACTTGTGTGTAAGTGTATGGATCTTTATGAAATTGTACTACAAGGTTCCATATGACAAAGGGAAAGCTGGAATTGAGTTTGGGGGTAATTGCCCAAAAAGTTTAGGAATAAGGGGCCAAAAATAAGCATTTTTCTAGTTTCCAGACAATAACTTGTGTGTAAGTGTATGGATCTCTCTGACATTGTATTACAAGGTTCCATATCATAAAGGGAATAGTGGGATTGATTTTGGGGGTAATTCCCTCCAAATTTTAGGAATTAGGGGCCAAAAAGGGGAAAAAAACAATCATTTTTCTAGTTTCATGACAATAACTTGTGTGTAAGTGTATGGATCTCTCTGACATTGTATTACAAGGTTCCATATCACAAAGGGAATGGTGGGATTGATTTTGGGGGTAATTGCCTCCAAATTTTAGGAATAAGGGGCCAAAAGGGGGCAAAAAACAAGCATTTTTCTAGTTTCATGACAATAACTTGTGTGTAAGTGTATGGATCTTTATGAAATTGTACTACAAGGTTCCATATGACAAAGGGAAAGCTGGAATTGAGTTTGGGGGTAATTGCCCAAAAAGTTAAGGAATAAGGGGCCAAAAATAAGCATTTTTCTAGTTTCCAGACAATAACTTGTGTTCAGGTGTATGGATCTCTCTGAAATTGTACTGCAAGGTACCATACCACAAAGGGAAGGCTGGGATTGATTTTGGGGGTAATTTCCTCAAAATTTTAGGAATAAGGGGCCATAAAAGGGCAAAAAAACAAGCATTTTTCTAGTTTCAGGACAATAACTTTTGTGTAAGTGTATGGATCTTTATGAAATTGTACTACAAGGTTCCATATCACAAAGGTAAAGCTGGGTTTGAGTTTGGGGGTAATTGGCCCAAACATTTAGGAATTTGGGGCCAAAAAGGGGCCAAAAAACAAGCATTTTTCTAGTTTCCAGACAATAACTTGTGTTCAAGTATATAGATCTCTCTGAAATTGTACTGCAAGGTATCATACCACAAAGGGAAGGCTGGGATTGAGTTTGGGGGGTGATGAATCATAAGGGGGTTCAAAAAATTTGATGGGGGGGGGATTTTTTTTTTCTTTAAAATTTTCCATTTTAAATTGTTATTTCTGATTTATATATAAAAGCAAATAATAATGATATGGATTGAATAGGTAAATTAAAAAATTTTAAGTTCTAAGACCACTTTCATTCTGTGTCAGAAACCTATGCTGTGTCAAATATTAAATTACAATCCAAATTCAGTGCTGTATCAAGCTTGAATGTTGTGTCCATACTTGCCCCAACTGTTCAGGGTTCGACCTCTGTGGTCGTATCAAGCTGCGCCCCAGCAGAGCATTTTATTCTTGTTTCATGACAATAACTTGTGTGTAAGTGTATGGATCTTTATGAAATTGTACTACAAGGTTCCATATCACAAAGGGAAAGCTGGAATTGAGTTTGAGGGTAATTGCCTAAAACGTTTAGGAATAAGGGGCCAAAAATAAGCAATTTTCTAGTTTCCAGACAATAACTTGTGTTCAAGTGTATGGATCTCTCTGAAATTGTACTGCAAGGTACCATACCACAAAGGGAAGGCTGGGATTGATTTTGGGGGTAATTCCCTCTAAATTTAAGGAATTAGGGGCCATAAAGGGGCAAAAAAACAAGCATTTTTCTAGTTTCAGGACAATAACTTGTGTGTAAATGTATGGATCTTTATGAAATTGTACTACAAGGATCCATATCACAAAGGGAAAGCTGGGTTTGAGTTTGGGGGTAATTGCCCTAAACGTTTAGGAATTTGGGGCCAAAAAACAAGCATTTTTCTAGTTTCCAGACAATAACCTGTGTTCAAGTGTATGGATCTCTCTGAAATTGTACTGCAAGGTACCATACCACAAAGGGAAGGCTGGGATTGAGTTTGGGGGGTGATGAATCATAAGGGGGTTCAAAAAATTTGGGGGGGGATTTTTTTTTTCTTTAAAATTTTCCATTTTAAATTGGTTATTTCTGATTTATATATAAAAGCAAATAATAATGATATGGTTTGAATAGGTAAATTAAAGATTTTTTAAGTTCTAAGACCACTTTCATTCTGTGTCAGAAACCTATGCTGTGTCAAATATTTAATTACAATCCAAATTCAGTGCTGTATCAAGCTTGAATGTTGTGTCCATACTTGCCCAAACTGTTCAGGGTTCGACCTCTGCGGTCGTATCAAGCTGCGCCCCAGCGGAGCATTTTATTCTAGTTTTATGACAATAACTTGTGTGTAAGTGTATGGATCTTTATGAAATTGTACTACAAGGTTCCATATCACAAAGGGAAAGCTGGAATTGAGTTTGAGGGTAATTGCCTAAAACGTTTAGGAATAAGGGGCCAAAAAGGGGCCAAAAATAAGCATCTTTCTAGTTTCCAGACAATAACTTGTGTTCAAGTGTATGGATCTCTCTGAAATTGTACTGCAAGGTACCATACCACAAAGGGAAGGCTGGGATTGATTTTGGGGGTAATTCCCTCTAAATTTAAGGAATTAGGGGCCATAAAGGGGCAAAAAAACAAGCATTTTTCTAGTTTCAGGACAATAACTTGTGTGTAAATGTATGGATCTTTATGAAATTGTACTACAAGGATCCATATCACAAAGGGAAAGCTGGGTTTGAGTTTGGGGGTAATTGCCCTAAACGTTGAGGAATGTGAGGCCAAAAAGGGGCCAAAAAACAAGCATTTTTCTAGTTTCCAGACAATAACTTGTGTTCAAGTGTATGGATCTCTCTGAAATTGTACTGCAAGGTACCATACCACAAAGGGAAGGCTGGGATTGAGTTTGGGGGGTGATGAATCATAAGGGGGTTCAAAAAATTTGGGGGGGATTTTTTTTCCTTTTATTTCTTTAAAATTTTCCATTTTAAATTGGTTATTTCTGATTTATATATAAAAGCAAATAATAATGATATGGTTTGAATAGGTAAATTAAAAATTTTTAAGTTCTTAAACCACATTCATTCTGTGTCAGAAACCTATGCTGTGTCAAATATTTAATTACAATCCAAATTCAGTGCTGTATCAAGCTTGAATGTTGTGTCCATACTTGCCCCAACTGTTCATGGTTCGACCTCTGCTGTCGTATCAAGCTGCGCCCCAGCGGAGCATTTTATTCTGTATATAAAGAAGAAGAAGAGAAGAAAAGACTTTGTTTTACAGCTTCTTAAAAAGAATCATCAGCTGTGTATTGTTCTGATCCTCATTCTCTCCCGTAATATACAATACACATCATAATATATATATATATGACATTGTCTTTTTAATCTAGATACGGGATAGAATGAGGATCAGTATATATATACGACGATTTTATAAAAACTGTCTTTTAATCATGTTAATACTGGGACTATTAATATTATACTACTGTATAGTTAGTAATATGAGGCAGGTGTTACCTGTGAAAGGGGATGAAGTCTGTATACATTATTTTTTAAATTCAATCATATTTTAACTCAGAATCTGTTAAAAAACATGAAAAAGAAACAGAAATAAGGAAATGTTTCCGATGTTAATCCTGTTGTTAGGGATTTTAGTTGTGACGTCATTTTCAATGTAAACAAAGAAACGCTATCATCAGGTAACGTTTTTTTCATATCAAAGAATTATCAAAAACATCAAATTTATGGGAAACAATATCATGCTCCTTCCTATATTTTACTCAAAGTAAAGTCCGTGACAAATGAGACCGGAAGAAAGAAAGGGATTTCTGCCCAGATGCGGGAAATAAAAAGAGTTAGAAAAAAAAGTTAACGATTTTGAGTTCCACAGTAGATTGATTTTTAAAAAAAAAATTTTTTATTGATTTTTCAACTGTAAATGGGGACCTCGTCCCCATATAATAGTCCCAATTAGATATAAAAAAGTGTCCTTTTTTTGCATGTGGGATAGAATGAGGATCAGTATATATTCAACTATTTCTATTAAAAGTGCCGTTTTATATAAGAAAGTTTCTTTGTAATTGAACATACGAGATAGAATGACGATCAGTATTTTTACCACGATTTCTATAAGAACTGTGTTTTATATTAGATTTTTTTTTACATACTGGATAGAATGAGGATCAGTAAATATACCATGATTTCTATAAAATTGTCTTTTTATATATATTAGAAAGTGGGTTTTTTTTTGTACATACAGGATAGAATTAGGATCAGTATATTTACGATGATTTCTACAAAATGTGTCTTTTTATATAAGAAACTTTTTATTGAGCATATGGGATAGAATGATGATCAGTATATATACGATGATTTCTACAAAATGTGTCTTTTTGTCGAGCTGCGACTTTTGTGGCAAAAGCCAGACATAGCGATCCTACATTCCGTAGTTGGCAGCGTCCACAAATATTCACTCTGAGGTTAAGTTTTTGAAATTTTAATAACTTTCTTAAACTATCCTGGATTTCTTCCAAACTTGGACAGAAGCTTGTTTATGATCATAAGATAGTATCCAGATGTAAATTTTGTAAAAAAAAATCCTGTTTATCCGTATTTTACTTATAAATGGACTTAGTTTTTCTGCCAGTTAACATTACATTCACTCTGTGGTTAAAGTTTTTAAAGTTTTAATAACTTTCATAAAATATCCTGGATTTCTACCAAACTTGGACAGAAGCTTGTTTATGATCATAAGATAGTATCCAGAAGTAAATTTTGAAAAAAAAAAAAATCCTGTTTATCCGTATTTTACTTATAAATGGACTTAGTTTTTCTGCCAGTTAAAGATTTAAAAATTTTAATAACTTTCTTAAACTATTCTGGATTTGTACCAAACTTGGACAGAAGCTTGTTTATGATCAAAAGCTAGTATCTAGAAGGAAATTTTGTAAAAATTTATTTCCTGTTTTTCCGTATATTACTTATAAATGGACTTAGTTTTTCTTCCAGTTAACATTACATACAGTTTGCAGTTAAAGTTTTAAAACATTTATTAGATTCATAAACCATCCTGGATTTTTACCAAACTTGGACAGAAGCTTCTTATATATAATAACAATCAAAAGATAGTATCTAGAGGAAAATTTTTATTAATAATACTGTAAATTCAGAAATTATTGCATGCATTTATTATTGCGATTTTGTCATTGTAGACTAAAATGCGATTTTAATTTTTGCGATATTGAGAAAAATCCTGTTTAATTCATATAAAAGATTTCAAAAT